GGACCTTGCACTTGGCCTTGTTGAACTTGATGACGTTCTGACAGGCCCACATCAAGCCTGTCAAGGTCCCTTTGGATGGCATCCCTTCCCTCCAGTGTATCAACTGCACCACACAGCTTGTCACGGGTGCACTTGATCTCACTGTCCATGTCACTGACAAAGATGTTAAACAGTGCCAGTCTCAATACCAGTCCCTGGGGGACACCACTCGCCACAGCTCTCCACTTGGATATGGAGCTTTTGACCACCACTCTTTGCGTGTGGCCATCCAACCAATGCCTTATCCACTGCGTGGTCCATCTGTCTCTCCAGTTTAGAGGCGAGGATGTCCTGCAGGACAGTGTCAAATGCTTTGCACATGTCCAGGTAGATGACATAAGCTGCTCTTCCCTTCCCACCAATGCTGTAACCCTAGTATAGAAAGCCACCAAATTTGTCAGGTGTGACTTGCCCTTAATGAAGCTGTGTTGGCTGTCACGAGTCACCTCCTTATTTTCCACGTGCCTTAGCACAGTTTCCAAGAGGTTCTGCTCCATGATCTTGCTGGGCACTGAGGTGAGACTGACCAGCCTGTAGTTCCCCATGTTTTCTTTTTTTTGCTTTTTAAAAATGGGGGGTATTTTTCCCCTTTTCCAGTCAGTGGGAACTTTACCAGACTGCCATGACTTCTCAAATATGATGGATAGTGGCTTAGTAGCTACATCTACCAGTTCCCTCAGGACCCACGGATGCATCTCATCAGGTCCTGTGGACTTGTGCACCTTCAGGTTATTTGGATGGTCTCAGACCTGATCTTGTACAGTGAGTAGTTCTTAATTTTCCCAATCCCTGCTTTTGCCTCCTATGACTTGGGCGGTGTTGCTTGAGCACTTGCTGGTGAAGACTGAGGCAAATAAGTCGTGGAATACCTCAGCCTTCTCCATATCCCAGGTAACCAGGTCTCCTCTTTCATTCTGGAGTGGGCCCACATTTTTCCTTGTCTTTTATCACCAAGGTACCTATAGAAGCCTTTCTTGTTGCCCTTAATGTCCCTGGCCAGATATAATTCTATCAGGACCTTGGCTTTTCTAACCTGGTCCCTGGCTGCTCAGACAACTTCTCTGTATTCCTCCAAGGCTACCTGTCCTTGCTTCCATCCTCTGTAGGCTTCCTTTTTGTGTTTGAGTTTGTCCGGGAGCACCTTGTTTATCCATGCTGGCCTCCTGGCATTTTTGCCTGCATTCCTCTTTGTTGGAATGCATAACTCCTGAGCTTGGAGGAGGCGATCCTTGAATATTCACCAGCTCTCTTGGGCCCCTCCTCCCTCCACAGCTTTATTCTGTGGTACTCTGGTCCCTGAAGAGGCCAAAGTCAGCTCTCCTGAAGTCCAGGGTGGTGAGTGCCAAGCACATTTTTAATAGTTACAGATGCTGTCAAATTGCCCCTTCTTGCAGCATTTGTGGTCCTGATGGGTGGCAGAGTTTTTAATTAATTTCTTCTTTGAGACTGAATGATATGGCCGTACACCTTGACATCTTTGCACTCGGTGCCTCCAATGGACCTATGGTCTGCTGGGCAGTGCCCAGGCAGGGCCTTGGTGAAGAGAGGAGGCTGAGTCAGTGCTGTTCCCCTCCACATCCAAATCATCACTGGCTGTAGGACCCAAGGAGGACTGGCTGAACCTCAGCTGATGTTTAACCTTCTCAAGCAGCCTGGAGCCCTGGACGTGCCCATCGTGGAAGCCTGCGCTGCCACTGAGCCCCTGCTGAAGTGACAAAATCCTTCGGCGTTCGGGGTGTTTGGGGGCACCTCCCAGACTTCCCTGTCTCACTGGGAACTGCCTCCCTGCTGCTTGGACATGTGCTGGCTGTGGCAGTACAAAGCCATAGACACGTGCAAGCCTTTGGGGCACTCCTTTGCCATTTACAGTCCTAGCCAAGGCCCCAGATAGCATCTCAGGCAACTTGGTCCTGTTCCCATTTCCTCTGCCATTTTTTGTGGCCACCTAGGAAAGTTTGTTTTCTCAGACTCTCAGTCTAACACGTAAACACTACCCTGAGCCAAGGAGAAGCATTCACCCAACTTTCTCAGAGAGACCAAAGGTGTGTGCTTAAGTAGGTAAAACTTCAGTGCATCTCATTTGAGATGGACTGGATTCTGGTTTTGTTACCTGTGATGAGCTGCTCCACACTACAGCCTGGGAAGGAGAGGGTTTATCTGCGTCCTCCAATTGAAGAGGAACTGGAGCTCCTCAAGAGGCTGGGAAGGAGGAGGAGAAAGAGCGGGATCCATTTTGAATCCCACGTGGAGATGCCTGTGGAGTGTGCATTGCTCTCGCAGGAGGCTGCACCGGGGCGTGCATGAGAATATGGAGGGGTTTGGGCAGCAAGCCAAACCAAGCTGGGTTGTATGAAACACAAACAGAAAATAGCAATTTGCAGTGCCTCGTAACTCAGTCAAACCTGTAAAGGGCTTCACAGGGCCAGGAAAAGGTTATCCCTTCATCAGCAGCCCTGCCAAATGTCTCATTTCCTTTTCAAAACCACAGAGCCCTAAGAACTCTTCAGGGACATTTACAGGGATATTCAGTGATGGGAAGGGCTAGGTGTAACTTCGTTACTTGTCAAAGCTCACATTGCAAGCTTTTGTTTCATAGATATTAAAATTAGAAGGTGGTGGTGTGATCCTCTCATCTTGGCCTCTGACATAACACGTGTTGGACTGAGCCTAATAACGTGGGTCAGCTCTGTTACATCTTTTAGACAAAGTCTTCGCTCTCTAAGTAATAGAAACTTCTGCCCAAGTGGTTAATTATGCCTGCTGAAACACACCTATTTGTTTCTGGCGTCGTTTGGTACCACATATTCAGTGGCTGACATAAGTACTGAGTTGATACTTCTTTTAAAACGGGAAGTTTTGGTATGTGATTGGCTGCATATTAATTATTTCTCTGGAAAGAAGACCATAATTGTCATTACAGGGTTACTGGAAAGCTGAACAAAGACCCGTGATGTTGGTTTTGTAGTGTGGGAACTGTGAGCAGCATCCCCGTCGAATGTAAAGAGCAGTGATGTATCGGTAATGTGCTCTTGCTACTTCTGTGTGCTCAGAGCTGCGCTCATACTTCAGGGTTGCCAGCATGGCGTGTGTGGAAGTTGAATTAGGATCACCTGACTTACAAGGTTGTTTCATGTAAGAAATGTTAATTCTAGGTGCTTATCTAGAATAGCATCGGTGTAACGGGCTGAATTAGCAACTAAAGGCCAAAGCATGACAGAAATGCGAGGCTGTAAAACGTGTCAGCTGGTCGGCATTAGGAGAGTGCTCTGCCTCCATTAGGTCAGTTATAAACCATCGTGAGCTGTTTTTCTATTAAAGAAGAGGTCTCAGTTAATGAATTGTTTGTGGGAATTAATGCTGGATGAGTCCCCTGTGGCTTTCATGATGAGGGTCAAATAAAATATTAATGAAATTAAAACAAACAATCCCCTGCTCTTCCCAAGTACCTTCCAGATGGGTTTCTCTAAGCGTTGGTCAGGGAAGATGTGGAGCCCCACAAGAGACAGGCCAGTGTGATGACTCCGTTTTCAGGAGCAGGGAGATGGAGGTGGTGGAAAGCAGTGACTCCAGAGACACAGTCTAGCAGCAGGGCTGCACAGGGGGTCCAGGAGTTCTCCCATCCGGTGCCTCTGCTCTGATTCCTGGGTTCAGCTCCTGTCTAAGAGAAATGAAAGTGAATCCAGACTGCCACACTGGCCAGCTGGAAGCTGATCTCTCCAGGTCTGGCATGGCCTGAATCTTAAATCTTCTTATTCACAAAACTTTCCCATTCATCCAGAGAATGTAATCCAGGAGATGTGGCTTTTTTCTCCTGACGCCTTATCCATGGGACGCATTGCCTTGTCTTACAGATTGTCCATACCAGAGGCCAAGCATAGAAGCTTGACAGTCTCTTTTTTGGTTACAGCTGCGCACTGCAGTGCAAAAAAGCTTGAGCTGGATGGAGCTAAGCAGACTGGTTTCAGGAGCGGCATCCCTAAATCGCTTCAGTCCAGTTCCTAAGCTAACACAATCACAGTCACAGTCCTTTCATACCCTAAACTAAGAGCTGCATGACATAACAGGGTGTTAAGTATCTACGGTGCTTTCGGACATGGCACAAAGCTGTGAATTTATTCAGAGGGAGCTCAGAAATCTTCCTGTTGCAAAGTGTAAGGATGTACACTGCATCTCTGGGCATGACTCCGTCTGGTACATGGGTACAGTCTGGTGTATGGAGAAGAAGGAGGCGTGGGCAGGTGCTCCAGCCTAAACAGAGCTGGTTCTGCTTGCGTCACGTGAAATCAGAGCCAAATGCATTTTCTCGCACCTATTTGTGTACCTTGGACATCAAAGAGCCTAAGCAAGACTCGTTAGATTTTCTGCGTAGCGTGCTGGTGCGTGTATGTGTGTGCATATACTCCGGAGAGGGCAGGGCTGTGTAACACCCCTTTGGCAAAGGCCACTGGGTGCTCATTATGCAGAGCTGGCTAATGAGGGTGCGTGGTCAGCTAAGGGTAGTGTAACTTACTGCACTGACTACAGGTGCAAAGAGGAACTTAGCAAGCCAGAAAAATTGTCATGAGGAACATTTTAAAGTACTTTCCCCTTATTTTTCCCCTCTCTCTTTGAAGATCAAATAAGCAAGAAAATGGAAATACTAAAATTATTTCAGAGGACAGTCAACATACTGGTAACTGTTCCTCCCTGCTTCTGCCAAAAAAATATTGTTGGGCCCTGACTGCCTTGCGTTGTGTGGGTATCACTGCTAGAAATTGGAAATCAGAGGTGGCAGTGGCCAAATCTTTTCCCCTACTGATGGGAAACTTCATTGCATTCTTGGGAAAGATCCTTGTGTCTGTAAATAATAATTAAGGAAACAATAATAATTCTGTCATATTTCTATAGCAAACCACAAAAAAGTGTCCTGCAGTCCACTGGCTCTTAGTCCTTTCTAACCTCCCTGTTTGCTTTTCAGGATTCACCAGGATCTCGTCGTGTTTCTGGTGTAAGCCCTACTTCCCGAAGAACTGCCCTTGCCCATCTCTGTCTCCCTGGGAACAGCCGAAGGGGGGTGCGGAGTGACAGAAATTTATGTTTTCATCAAACCGGGCCAAGGAGAATGGGGGTCCCACACCCAAAAGAATGAAGACGCGACAGAACAAGGACTCAGTACGTGAGATGGGAGAGGGGGTGGGACCCCAGAGCCAACAGCAAAGCTTGTAGTCATGAGTTTCGCATAGCAGGATGCCAGGGGTTCAGGACCTTTGGGAGGCTGGGGGACAGGACTGGAGGGAGATGCAAAGCAGGACTGATCCGACGATCCCTCTTGTAGATGTCAATGCGGAGTGGACGGAAGAAAGAGACTCCAGGGCCCCGAGAGGAGCTCAGATCACGGGGTCGAGCTTCCCCCGGGGGCGTCAGCACCTCCAGCAGCGATGGCAAGGCTGAGAAATCCCGACAAGCGACAAAGGTAGTATAGGCTAGTGAGTGAGTGTGGGGTGCCCAAGGACGTCCCACATGGGGTAGGATCCATTTAGGGATCTGGGAGTGCAGACCAGAAGGGATCCACTGAGGAACCCATGCTGGGTTAGCTGTCTGCAGTGGGCGGTATCTGCTTTCCTCTCATCCTCAGCATGTTGCCCTTGCCATTACCTCTCAAGAACTGGCTTTCTCTCCCACCAGCCCTTTTTAGTGCTTATTTTTGCTGTGTTCTGTCTCAGCCTTGCCCCACTGCCCACTGTCTGCCAAGCTCTTCAACACACGTGCCGTGGTGGCTGCGTCTCAGCTGCTGTGGAACCGTGACTGCCTGGCACGGGGGAAGTTTACCCACGGCGCTCCCACCTCCCTGTTTTCCTTCCCGCCCTTGCAGAAAGGCCGAGTGGAGGAATCCTGCACCCCCAAGGGCAGCAAGCAGGGCCGGACGGAAGAGATCTCAGAGAGTGAAGGGGAGGACACCAGCGCTCCCAAAAAAACCAAAACTGAGGTGAGTTCTCTCTGCTGTGATTGCTGGTGTGTCCCAGGTCCAGGGCAAAGGAGTCTCCTCTTTCCTACCTGGGCTACTCGTGCCTGCTCGGCTTGAGGTTCCTGCTGCTTGGGAACCCTTGCACCATGGGTTTCACACTGCAGCTCTTCCAACCTAAATGGCATTTGCCTGGCTACAGAAAGGCCACCAGGAGTGATGCTGAGCAGATGGAGGCCCTCCGTTTCTTTTGCCTTGTCTCAGAGCTGGGCATGTGCTCTGCCTTTCCGCTGGCTCAGTGAGAAGATCCTGGCTCCGGGCGCAGCTGCTGGTCATGAAAAATTCAGCATCTTTTGCTCCCTCAGAGCAGTGTGAAACGGGGGTGCTTGAGTTGTGGTGGGGTCCAGGTGATGGCTGTGCAAAACCTGCTCACATGCATGCCCTGCATAGTTGTGGCAGGGCTTTTCCAGAATGCTGACGGCACTGGACTGGATCGGTGGTTGGATGAAGACTCAGCTCTTGCACTTCTCAGTGCCCCCCATTAGCCCAGTGAGGGAACTGGCCTTAAAAGCCTGCAAACACACATGGGGATATTTACTCGCGTTATGAGGTCGTTGTAATTAAACCACAGCAATTACACCTATGTAGTATCTCCAAGTGGATGTTCTATTCAGGTCAACAGTGGTTTTTTTCAGTTTAGCCTCTCCTGTAAGCCACGAGGCTCAAGAGTGGCACTTGTTAATTGTCCCTGCAAACCATTGAATCACCAGTGCTTCACTGCCTGAGGTGAGAGGTAGCAGGAAGGAGCAGGGATTGGAAAGTGCAGGGGGTACTCGGAGGGGTAAGGAGTGGGGCAGTGAGAGGGGTCTGGAGGGAAGCGGTTCTGCTTTTCCAAGGAAAGCCCTTCAGGGACAAGGGCAATTTTTGGGTGTGCTGCTCCATGCCACCTGGTGGTAGCACTGAGCCATGCCCTGGCCACCTACCACCTGTCGGTGGTGGCAGTGGTAGAACCTTTCATATCTATTCACTCTCAGCCTCATCTGTTGCCTGCCCTCCCTTGCTGCCTCCGTACCCATCGTTACCTCCTCCCTGTGCATGTGGTGCTCATGAAGGACCTGAGAGCACTGACATTGCTCCAACAGGAGGCAGGAGGCCTGATGTTACTTATACCTTATCAAACAATGTTTTGTTTCTCTTGGAGGTTTCCAGAAAGCAAGATCTGGGAGTTTGAAAAGTACTGTGCATGATGTGGGAGGCTACATAGCATCTCTGTCCTTTTTCCTACTTCAGGAGTTGCCCTGTCCTCCATCCCCATCCGATGTCGACAGCCTTGATGGCCACAGCTTCAATGATGAGATGAGCAGTGACCCACGGGACATTGACCAGGATAACCGTAGCACCTCGCCCAGCGTCTACAGCCCTGGCAGTGTGGAGAATGACTCCGACTCCTCCTCTGTGCTGTCCCAGGGGCCGTCTCACTCCTACCACCACCCTCCACTCTTCCCTCAGAGCCCTCCGGTAGCTCCCCCTCCCGACAGCCTGGCCCGTCCACCCGAGCCCGGCTTTGGGCTCCCGGGTGAGGTGCACCCACAGGGACCCTCTGCAGGGAGCTAAGGGCCAAGCCTCCCGAATTTTCCAGGCTCAAGCCCCACAGACACCCGCTTCCTCCTCCTCTGCTGTTGCTGTCCCTCCCGCTCCCCCTTCCTCCTCCTCCTCCTCTTCCTCCTCCTCCTCCTCCCACACTCCTCTTTATCCTACAGCCAATGTGGTCCAAGTTGGGGCCAAAATCGCTGGTGGAGTTGGGGGGCTCCCAGCACCAGGGGGTCGTGAGCAGACCCTCAGCGCCAAGCACAATCCGCCACCCACCACCCCCATCTCGCTGGCCTCGGTGGTTGGGGGGCTCCCCCCTCAAAAGACACCCCCAGCCAACCCTCCAGC